GCTAAGCTTTCCTGGCAAACAATTCGGTACAATCAGGGATCAGATGTTTGGCGAATTGAAAACCTTATCAACTGCCAAGGTCTTTTCTCGACTTAGAACAAAATCTGCACTCAACTTTGTGGACGAGTCTCCGATTGTCATGGCTGCTTCTGCCAAACCAACGCCGAGTTCTCAGTCAAGGATCATCACTCCACGAACCGATAAGTCGCCGAATGCCCCATGTGTCCTTCGTGAACACTGGGGTTTCAGTCATCCCAACAGCGTTTGCTCTAAACAACGACGACGGGCTGGCGGTAACCCTCATGGAAACAACTCCAACTCACAGACAACAACCTCCCTTACTGATCAGGAGAAAGTGAGGCGGTTCAATCAGCTTGCGGCAGCTGGCGTGATCAGTTTCAATGCGCAGGCAGTGCCTGAGTCTTCACCGGTGTTGCAAGACAACACTCAACAACAAACGTCTACTGAGAAAACGGCAGACTGTCAGTTCGCAACATCCTACAACACTATTGCTGAAGCTCAACCTCAGGTATCAATGACTATGTCCGAGTTCTACCCTACCGCGTCGCCGACTCACAAGGCGACTCTAGCCGACACTGCATGCAATCGTCACATGTTCGGTGATGAGCTGCTTTTGGACGACTTGCGAGATGTTGATCCGGTCTGGATCAATGTAGCGAATGTGGACAAATCATTGCGCATCAAAGCCACTAAGATGGGAACTGCAAAGTTACACGCATTTGACATCAATGGTGCACCTTCCTTCGTGAACATCCCCAACGTACTTTTCTCACCTGCTTTACCGGCAAACTTAATCTCAGTCACTGAATTGTATGAGTCTGGTTTCAAAATTGTTGACCCTCACTCCGGCACCAACAAAGGCTATGTCAACATGTACTTCTCCAACAGCAAGAGCATCCTACCTGCCTTCAAAGACGCTGGACCAGGGGGATTCTGGAAATTTTATCACTTCACTGAACCCCGTGCGTTATCTGTCGTTTCACCCAAGCCCAATGAAACTGACTTGTGGCACCTGCGTTTTGGTCACTTGAACAATAGGAGTACCGCAAGTGTCATGGAAGATGTCCTACGAATTAGTCCTAATGCATCGTCGACTTGCGAAGCCTGCACCATGGGGAAGCAAACAAGGAGCAGTCATTCTGGTAATCTTCCTCGGTCTCAAATACCTTTTCACCGTATTCATTGCAACCTTGCTGGTCCGTTTCCTGCTGCGAGCATTGGGGGTTTCAATTATATTATGGTTCTTATAGATGATGCTACTCGTCGTAATTGGGTTTTCCTACTAAAGTGTAAATCTCAGGCATTTGAAGCCTTTAAACAATTTCATTCTATGATAAGTAATCAAATCTCAACCAAGTTGGCAGTTTTCAAAAGTGATAGAGGAGGCGAGTTCACCAGTGCAGCATTTTCCAAATACCTAAGTGACAATGGGATAATTCATGAGATGGGTCCTCCGGAAAGTCCTCAGCAAAACTCGGTAGCTGAGAGGTTCATGAGAACGATTGCTGAAAGGTTGCGTGCTCAGCTGATTCATGGAAATCTTCCCGTGCGGCTTTGGGGAGAGGTCATAATGGCCACCTCTTTCGTTCTTAACCTATGTCCATCCAAATCAGTTAGATACAACTGTCCTGAATACGCTTGGCAAAGACTTGCTATGAAGGTCAAAACGCCCAATATTCCTTATAGTCGACTTCGTGTTATAGGTTGTCTCGCTTATACAATCCCTCCTGGACACCACAACAAACTCACCCCACGGTCCCACCTCCAACAAATTTGAATCGCATTGTGGCATGCGCGCTCAGGTCGCGTTTTGAGATGCGATTTCAGATCGCATATGTGACATGCGATGAAGAGCCTGTGCGATGTGAGATCGCACAGGTTTCATGCGATCCAACTTGTGAAATCGCATCCTTTTGTGCGATTTGACTCAGATGCGATTTAAGATCGCATCAACTCAGCCCGATCTAATCCTCAAGCGAATCAATATCGCATCGGCTCAATGTGACTGAACCGCTCAGGCGATTCAAGATCGCATCAATCAAATGCGACTCAAATGCGCAGGCGATTCAACCCATGGAATCGCACCAAAAAAATCCGAACAAATTGTTTCATCGCTCCACTTAGATGTGATCCAACCTCGCCTCGTTTCATGCGATTCTACCCCAGATGTATTATCGCATCCTCCCATCCGATTCAATCCCACTTGCTTTTCATGTAGGAATTGCAGAATTTTTTTGAAAATTAAGCAAAAAAAACTTGAAACACCCTAAACCACCCAAGAAATAGCAAAAAGTGATAGATATCTGAGGACTTGATTTGTTCAGATAACAAATAATAAATGTGAACTTCACAAAAAGTTCACAATGAAATGTGAATTTTAGATGAAGTTCACAAAAAAATGTGAACTTCAGAAAAGGTTCACAAAAAGGGGTGAACTTCAGAAAAGGTTTACAAGAAAATGTGAACTTTGTATGAAGTTCACAAAAACATTACAATTTTCTGTGGACTTTTTCTGAAGTTCACATCTCATTGTAAACCTTCATTGTGAACTTTGAAAACAGTTCACAGTAAAATGTGAACCTTGGATGGACTTCACGAAAAAATGTGAACTTTGGATGCAGTTCAAATGTCATTGTAAACTTTTGATTGTGAACTTTTTTCACAGTGCACAAAAGAATGTAAACTCCATAAACAGTTCAAAATGGTTTATCAAAATTTTGTTTACATTTTGAAAAAGGTTTATTGATTTCATTAAATCTAAATGACACATATTTTATGTAGACACAAATTGGGTTAGCGTAGAACTACGGAAAAAACACCAACTTTCTAAACCACCTAAGAAACAGCAAAATGCAATAGAAATCTGAGGACTTCATTTGTTCAGATAACAAACCATAAATGTGAACTTCACGAAAAGTTCACAATAAAATGTGAACTTTAGATGAAGTTCACAATGTAATGTGAACTTTAGATGAAGTTCACAATGTAATGTGAACTTTAGATGAAGTTCACAATGTAATGTGAACTTTAGATGAAGTTCACAAAAGGATTCCAATTTTCTGTGACATTTTTATGAAATTCACATGTCATTGTAAACTTCTCTTGTGAACTTTGAAAAAGTTCAATAAAATTTGAACTTTGGATGAAGTTCACAAAGAAATTGCAATTTTCTGTAAACTTTTTATGAGGTCACTGTAAACTTCCACTTGGAACTGTTTATGGACTTCGCATTCTTTTGTGCACTTTGAAAAAAGTTCACAATAAAATGTTCACCTTAGCAAAGTTTTGTTTAATCCTTTTCAAAAAGGTTCATTGATTTCAATAAATTATGCATATTTTATGTATACCACAAAACTGTTGTAGTGTATAACCACGTAAAAAAGCCAACTTTAAACCACCCAAGAAATGGCAAAAAGCAATAGAAATCTGAGGACATGATTTGGTCATATACAAATAATGAATGTGAACTTCATAAAAAGTTCACAATGAAATGTGAACTTTAGATGAAGTTTACAAAAATGTGAACTTCACAAAAGGTTCATGATGAAATGTGAACTTTAGATGGACTTCACAAAGAAATGTTTCTAATACAAATTGTACGTATATTTCATGTATGATACAAATTGTACACATATTTTTTTCATGTGTAATACAAATTGTACGCATATTTTATGTATAATACAAATTGTATGCGTATTGTATGTATAATACAAATTGTATGCGTATTTTATATAATTGGGGGGCTCAGGTCAAAATTTTTCACTACTTTTATCGTAAAAAACTTTACCCAATTGCGTGAAATTAACGCAAAATCTTACGCAATTGGGAAAAGTTATACGACATCCCAATTTTTTTTACGCAAATTTGCGTAAATTTACTGCTCAGAAGGAGATCTAAAACAAAATTCTTACGGTCCTTTTTTACAAATTGGGAAAAGTTTTTACAGCAAGGTACCGTAAAAAACTTTCCCCAATTTTTTACAAAAAGGCCGCAAAAATTTTGACTTGAGCCCCCTTATTACAAATTTTTGTAGCATACAAGTATGTAAAGACAAAATTAAATGAGATGAAGCTCACAATATAATGTGAACTTCAGTCTCAGATGAAGTTCACAAAAATATCTGAACTTTAGATGAAGTTCACAATTGAATGTGAACTTTAGATGAAGTTCACAATTAAATGTGAACTTCACCACAATTTCACAATACAATGTGAAGTATAAATGCAGTTTACATAAATATGTGAACTTCAGGAAAGGTTCTCAATATAATGTGAAATTGATCACAATTTTGCGCACATTTTCCAAGAGGTGTATGGATTTTGATGAATTACGCATATGTTATGTATAACTCAAAGTGGTGTAGGATATAAGTACATAAAAAGCCAGAATTCAACTACGGTAAACCAGCCAAGAAATAGCAGAAAGAAATAGAAGTCTGGGGGGTTGATTTTCCCAAAGCAAATGCAAACTTCTGACAAAGTTCACGATAAAATGTGAACTTCAGATGAAACTTCATCAAAACTTTATTCACATTTTCAAAAAGGTGTAGCAATCCATAAACTACTTATACATAAAATATGCGTATACGCATATTTTATGTAGAAAAAAAGTTGTTGTAGGGTAATATCAGGTTAGGTGTAGCTCCTCAGCAGCCAAATCAAAGCTCTCAGAATTTGCATCATCACAGTGCATAACAAATTTTACTGAAGAGGTTGTGATAAAAAAACAAATGGCGGCACAGCCTTTCACATTTCCCCTGTCTCTCCTATCTTGAGAAAAACCATTTTCAAAAATAGAAATTGAAGCCTTGTTATTGGCCAGCCTTTTGCACTTTCAAAACTCAAACCCTTCTATATTTATCCCTAAAGATTCAAAAGCACTGAAAATTTACAAAAATGAGCAGCAAAGATACAAAGTAAACACAAATGCCCATCCTAAATCTTTAAAAAAAATGACTGGAAAAGAAACACCAAGACTGACTAAAGAAGCATTTGTTCCATTTGCAAAACATCGCCTTTCCAAGGTTTGGGTTGTTCACGCAATTGTTCCCTAAACTCTTCTTTAAGCTTCATACATTTCTCAATTGATATGGGTGAAACAAAGTCGGCTGAACATTCCCCAAGCAAAAGATTTGAGTAATGTGAATAATAACCAAATAATTCAAGCTCTTTTATCTCAAAGATTGAGCACAGCTTACCAGCTACCTTGATACAATTTGCTAGATTACAAACTTGATGTGCTGTGTACGCAGGTATGAAAACTGGTTCTCCAGGTTTCTATATCATTTATACAATGCAAAGAAGTCATTGGTCAAAAAAAAAAGAATCTATTAATTTCCAACACCAAGAAAAAGAAACAATCACAGACCTGTCTAATCTCATAGCCTTTCACCCCATATTCTTTGCGCAGTTTTTCTCTCTTCTCAACGTCAATGTAAGTTCTTGTCCTATAGTTAATTTATCCAAGAAGCAGATCAAATCAGAATCAATCACCATCATAAAAGATATGATGAACAAACATACACATGAATTGGATCATCATATCCACTCTTAACCTCTTCAACGGAGATCCCTAATTGTTGAGCATGATGTTCATAGAGAAATTTACGCACTTTCTCCGCATCATTAGCATGATATAGATGCCATAAAGACTGGGGATCCAATAAAAAATCACTTCAGTGTTTTGCTATATTGTTGTGAGTCGCAAATTGAGATCTCAATCTAAAGAATATCAGGAATGTTTACTCACACAACCTTTGATTCCTTCCTGATTACATCTGGCATACGTTTGGATATTGACTGCATCTACAACAAAAAATATCATGAATTGATCTTATATATTAGGGACCCGGAATCTGATCAATAAAAGTTGGCTCAACCTGACATGTCCATATGGAGACTCAAGCAGGTGCCGCTCAGTTCGCCGGTTTCTGCGTCCTTTTTT